TAAAAATAACCTCTAGATGTAATTTACTGCAAAATTTCATTTTCAGCATCTCAGAGTCAGAACCCATTAGAAGCTGTTGGGGAAACCCGGCGGGATCAGACTCGGTAGGAATTATTCTCTTTTTATGATCAGCTCAGGAAATAAGTGAGAGCAGCACAGTTTGGGTTTTTCATTACGCCTCTCACAAGATTTGCAAAGTGTTTTTCTCCAGGAGGAGCCACAGAATCTTTAGCATACAGAAAAAACTCTAATCAGACCTCATTTCCAACACATGTAAGCGCCCCGTTTCTGAGTGTTAGTGGGGAACAAAAGAGGTATAATTTAACCAACTTACACACCAACTTTGCTCCAAAATGACCATTCTGAAAACATAAATGACAACATAGTCATGAACAGACTCTTAAAAGTAACAAATCTGGTAGCAGAAATACAGGCAGAAATAAGGGCAGCTAAAGGGCGCCTTTAAACCCAGAAAAGTCTATTCCCATTATGGCTTTTTGGCCATTATGTGCTCTATTTAGAGCACATAATGTAATAATGTAATAACAGTAACAGAATTCATGATTAAATAGATAAATATGAAAATCAGGGCTGTTTTATAAAAGCAAAAGCTATCCTTGATTTTTGTTTACATTTCAAAACAGGTTTAAACTTTCTTTAGCCTGAATTCATTTTGTGCCTCAAGTTTCTTAAATTATTGGTATGAAAGTTGAACCCATTCACATATCAGAAAGAAAAATAGAAATATGCTGTTGGGTGACACCAGAGGTGTGTTATGGTTTTTATTATTTACATGTTTATATTATTTAGATGCTCTTGTGTTCAATCTTATGAATGGAAATGTGATGTAAATTAACATTTTGAAAACATAAAGAGACTCAAACAACTGTAAACCGAGCATGGCAACATAGTCATGAACATACTCTTAAAAGTAAAAAATACGGGCAGAAATAAGGGCAGCTAAAGGGCGCCTTTAAACCCAGAAAAGTGTATTCCCATTATGGCTTTTTGGCCATTATGTGCTCTATTTAGTGCTGTTTTTCTAACTGGCCTCAGATCCCTCAACAAACTCTTTCTTGTTCATATTCTTATTCGTATTTTCCTCAATGTCCAAGGACTGATGTTTATCAGAAAGTTTCATCTGTGGATTCTCAAAGGCAGCTCCATAAAGCTTTTCACTTATATGCACTTAGATATAAACCTGGTTCCCTGCTTTTGTCTGCAAAGCTTTTAAAAATAAAAAAATAAATAATATATATATTTTCACGTCTCTTTTATTATTCTGTACATTCAACATTGCACATTTCAATTCTTCATTTGTACATTCACACCCGTATACATACCTTTGATATTTGTAATTTAATATTTTATATTGTATCTTTGAGTCTTACATCCATATTTATATTCTCAGATCTATATTTTTAAAGATTGTACTTTTTAGTTTGATTTTTTCTGTTCTATATTTTTATTTCTACAGTGTATTTCCTTTGCACCAAACACCAAGGCAAATTCCTTGTAAGTAAAAAACCTACTTGGCAATAAACCTTATTCTGATTCTGATCTGAAACTGTAGTAATTCTTTGGCAGGCTCTCATTCCAACACAAATATATAAACTACTTTTTATTCAACACAGAGCAGAAATAACCGTAAAACATTTATGCACACATGCATTAGCTTAGGACTTAATGTCATACATAGGAATGATGGACCCTCAGGATTTATTACACCAAATAATAAAAATAAATACATTTTCCCCCTTGTTTTCACTTTTCTATCTATGTTTTTTATTTATTTATTTATTTATTTATTTATTTTTTAACCAATATAAAATGATCTAATATTGAATAAACCTTTAGAAAAGTGACATACAATACAATTTATTTATTTATTTATTTATTCATTTATTTTTTGTATCTGTTTTTTAATGAACTTTTTAAATGAAGGTTTTTCTTATTCGTAAACCAGGAAAAATGCCTCATTGTTCAGGAGAAAGGATCCGGGATCCGGAGTTTCTGCTGGTTTTCATGAAACTGCTTTCAACATAACAGAGCAATAAAATGCAAAATGCTTTCCAGTTATGTTGAATTTAGCAGGATTAATTGTAATAATTGAACAGGATATGGTGGATTAGAGAATTTACACATTTCACCATATGGCTCAGTAACAGAATTCATAATGAAATAGATAAATATGAAAATAAGGGTTCTTTCTATCTATCCTTTATTTTTGTTTACATTTCAAAACAGGTTTAAACGTTCTTTAGCCTATATTAATTTTGCACCTCAATTTTATTAAATTATTGGTCCATGAAGATGGAACCCATTCACACGGCAGAAAGAAAAATAGAAATAAGGTGTTAGGTGACACCAGAGGTGTGTTATGGTTTATATTATTTATATGTTTATATTATTTACATGTTTATATTATTTACATGCTCTTGTGTTCAATCTTCTGAATGGTAATGTGAATAACAATGATAACACTTGAGTCTTATATCCATATTTCTATTCTCAGATCTATATTTTTAAAGATTGTACTTATTCTCAGATCTATATTTTTAAAGATTTTACTTTTTTCTGTTCTATATTTTTATTTCTGTTCTATATTTTATTTCTGCACCAAACACCAAGCCAAATTCCTTGTAAGTAAAAGACCTACTTGACAATAAACTTTATTCTGATTCTTAACAGGCAAATTACTAGAGAACCTGCTCTTATTCTTTTCTTTTAACCAGCTATGCTCGCTAAAAAATTAAAAATAAGGAAACAGTCCACAGATTTGTGTGTCTGTGTGTACTTTTGGTTCAGTTTTTGACTAAAACTGGCCCTTTGGGGAACGACAGCTGTGTCCATTTTGTCCATTTGGTCCATTTTGTCCATTTTGTCCATTTGGTCCATTTTGTCCATTTTATCCATTTGGTCTATTTTGTCCATTTTGTCCATTTTGTCTATTTTGTCCATTTTATCCATTTGGTCCATTTTGTCCATTTTATCCATTTGGTCCATTTTGTCCATTTGGTCCATTTTGTCCATTTTGTCCATTTTGTCTATTTTGTCCATTTTACCCATTTGGTCCATTTGGTCCATTTTGTCCATTTTATCCATTTGGTCCATTTTGTCCATTTTGTCCATTTTGTCTATTTTGTCCATTTTGTCCATTTTGTCCATTTTATTCATTTTATCCATTTGGTCCATTTTGTCCATTTTATCCATTTTGTCCATTTTGTCCATTTTGTCCATTTTGTCCATTTTATCCATTTGGTCTATTTTGTCCATTTGGTCCATTTTGTCCATTTTGTCTATTTTGTCTATTTTGTCCATTTTATCCATTTGGTCTATTTTGTCCATTTGGTCCATTTTGTCCATTTTGTCTATTTTGTCCATTTTGTCCATTTTATCCATTTGGTCCATTTGGTCCATTTTGTCTATTTTGTCCATTTGGTCCATTTTGTCCATTTTGTCCATTTTATCCATTTTGTCCATTTTGTCTATTTTGTCCATTTTGTCCATTTTGTCCATTTTATCCATTTTGTCCATTTTATCCATTTTGTCCATTTTGTCCATTTTGTCCATTTTGTCCATTTTGTC